TTGCTAAGTAGTTGCACAACTTAGTTATACAGCTTCTAGGAATTTACTTTAGTGGGTGAAAAAAAAAACCTAATTTAGATTGACACAACAAATTTATCATTACAGGACACCCTGTGTCATCAAATGAATATCTACATGCTCAAAGATCTGGGATGCTGTTGTTTTAATCCAAATAAAATGTGGAGAACTTTGCTTTTGTAATACAAGGTAACTTTAAAATGCTTTAAAACTTAGAGCACCAGACAGGAAGAGTACCTCTCATTAAGAAAATTGAACAATAAATCTGTTTTTTTTTTTCTTAAAAACATCTGTGGATGTTCTATTTTTAGTTTAAATCGAGTTTTAAATACAGATTTTAAACGTGTATCCTGATCTAGTGCAATCTGGTTAGTTTTCAACTAGTCTAGTGTGACAAGCAACACAAACTTTGGTTCAATATTAGCAATAGGTAATAGTGCTGAAGTAGGCATGAGGACACTTGTATGAGAACCAAACAGGACAAGAACCAAAGACTTATTGGCCGCCACAGAGTACTGTCACATCATTTGTTTTATCTTTATTGTTAATTGTGTTAATTCACGTTATTTCAAATATGTAGCAATAAGCGGCTGTGAAGCCTCTGTTTTACTGAAGCAACCACTGACTAGCAAATTTGGCTAACTGTGTTCGCTCTCCTTTCCGTTTAAATCTCGGCGAAGTGGCCTACACTAAAGGAACCCGAAAGCGAATGAGTCTTTCTTGTTTTATACCTGCAGTCCAAAGATGGCATCAATTTAACTAACCTTGGAGCGTTATTTTTATTTCACCACGTTCAACATCCCGCAAAAATAATATTAGTAAATTTGGAATTCCAGAATAAAAGCAATACTCAAATTTTCTAACTGATTCTTGAGGTTTTCTCTATTGAAAAGCTTTTATTTTGAAAACTCCCGGTAGGAACCGAATGCATGCTATTCTTTTCCGAGACATTATTGTTTACTGAATAAGTTTAATTTGCATTCACGCATTTCACGGAAATACTTGCTGCCGAGTATAGAAACATTTGCGTGTGTTAATTGTGTAGAACAGAGTTTTCGGGCTTTGACTTTCTAATGTCGGAACCCCTGAACAAGCTCGGTTACCGTGGGGGAAGAAATTGACTKAAACACCAGCTCGACCAAAGCTGATGCAAGTTGAATGAGTGAGCTGTCAGCCGTGTGTGGATAACATAATAAGGTATGCTGCTGCCATTAAATCTGTAAATTCCATTACCTGATTAATAAAAAAAAAGATTAATCTTAATATTTGTATTATGTATTTAATATGACAATTTGTAAATTGCGTGAAATGAGTGTTATCAGTAACGATTAGCTAGCAGAAATTAGCTATCATCATGTTCACATATGGGAGTCTTTGCGGCTTTTGCAGGAGCAAATGTTGCTATGTTGGATCATAACATACTTACAACTTGACAGAACACGTATAGCTTTTCTTAAAGTATGTGACATTTAAAAAAACCTTTTTATTTTCTATCACCTGACAGTGAYACTGAGGAGATGACAGATTGTCAAGATGGAGAAGGAGCCAAGACTCCGATGGAGCTTTACAAGAGACTGAATGAACAAGGAGAAAAAGTCAGGTCCTTAAAAACAGCCAAYGCAGAGAAGGTAAATGTCTTCATTGCTCAGATTTAATTTTCTACCTACAACAAATATATTTCACTTCTGATCATAGCAGGTTGTTSACATAACAGTGCATTCAAAATGAATGCTTTATTATTTACATTTATGATATTTGGGGTTGCTGCTAATAGGCCTGTGTTGTGCTTTTTTTAAGACAAATTAATTATTACTTGTCTTTTTTATATTTCTATTTTAAAAGAAAGGTCAAATATATCTTAAGGAGCTGAGATTAAACAAAATGGATTCAGAATAGCAACAATGGAAAAATGCATTTCAATTAAAGGTGTCAGTTTATGGAAATGTTTTGTGAGATAAAACTGATCTAAATCTCTTTCTGCATTTGAAAGACAGAAAATAATTATGAGGAAGTGATATGGCACTGAATATGCTGATGTTTTGTTATGTATTCTTTGTGTAATTGTGCATTTTGTGTATATATTTGAAATATGACTGTCCATCCATCCATCCATTTTCTTCCGCCTATCCGGGGTCGGGTCGCGGGGGCAGCAGCTTCAGAYGGGAGGCCCTTCGGAAATATGACTGTAATAATCTAAATTGAATAACTAATATTTTTATGTGAATAAGGGGCAGATATTGTAAGTTTATATTTCTTTCTACTCCTTTTCTTTAATTATTAAAATTTTTTTTAGTTGTATGAATTATTCATATTTAGTATTGAGTGAATGAAATAAAACCAGTAAATTAAATGTAAAAATTCTTTTGCATTTCCTCACTCTATCTCAAATAATATTAGAAACCCCTCTCAAGCAAAAATGTAACAAAATAGTTTTATTCTTTCACCATCACAAATTTTAAACACTTTTTAAGATAAAATTAGTTGGTTTTGCTGAAATTCACCTGTTTTCATTGTTGCGTTTCGCCTTTCCAGGCTGACATCGATGCTGCCGTCCAGATGCTGTTAAAGCTGAAAACAGACTACAAACAGGTAACCGGTCAGGATTATAAAGCAGGATGTCCGCCATCAGAAAACATGGTTGTGCTAGATAATGGACCAGCGACAGACGGTGCAGATGAAGACGACACAGTTGACCCGTGGAATGTTTCAACCACCAGCGCCAAGGGAGTAGATTACGACAAACTCATAGGTATGATTTGTGACCTTAAAATCTCATATGAAAGGTAATTTACATAGAATGATGAGTAAACGATGTGTTTCTGATCCTCAGTGAGGTTTGGCAGCAGTAAGATTGAAAAAGAACTGGTGGATAGAATTGAAAAAGTCTCTGGACAGAAACCTCATCGCTTTCTACGAAGAGGAATCTTCTTCTCGCACAGGTTTTTTTGTTTTTCCTCATTTCTAGCATCCAGAAGAAAGACATGGTTTTTGGTGCCAGCATAACAGTTTAGATTGTGATTCTTTAATGTACGCACATCATTTAGTTTGTTTTGGTAAAATATAGCACAGCTGTTAGCAGAAACACAACAGTTTTCATGGAGGAATGACATTTCAATATGTTTGGTTTGTTCTGCAGAGATATGCATCAGGTACTCGATGCATACGAGAAGGGCAAGTCTTTCTACCTTTACACTGGCCGGGGTCCTTCCTCTGAAGCCATGCACGTTGGTCACCTCATCCCCTTCATTTTCACGAAGTGAGTTGTCCCTGAAAGGTGTAGAAATACAAAGCTGAGGATTTCATTTTGTCATTCTGGGTTAAACTAAGCATTTATGTGTTTTATCAGCAACAAAGCATTTTCACCAGTGGAACTATAATAAGCTAATTTAACCTCCCTGTTCCAGGTGGCTTCAGGATGTTTTTGATATCCCCTTGGTGATCCAGTTGACGGATGATGAGAAATACCTGTGGAAGGATCTAACTTTAGAAGAATGCCGCCGTTTTGCCGTTGAAAATGCCAGAGATATTATCGCCTGCGGCTTTGACATCAACAAGACCTTCATTTTCTCAGATCTCGACTACATGGGGTAAAATTTGATCTGAAGCTTTAAACACCAACACTGAGGCTTCCTTATCATTTTATATCTGCAAAGGCGTGTCATGTTCACAAATATAATCCCTGAAAAAGAACAGACATCTGCCAGGGCTTTTCACAAACGGGTTCATGTTGATGAGACAAAGAAAGACATCCACCTCTCCACTCACACTGAAAGATTAGAGATGTTAAAATGCTGTTTAAAGCGGTGTGGTGTTGAGAGTACATCTGGGAAGAAGTGGTACCAGTAAAAGCAAAAGGTTGTGTAATATACAGGTTCGGAATATTTTTGTCTTGTGAAAGCAAGTTATGATGTAATGAATGACGACAAATGAAGATGCAGAGGTGAAAATCAGAAATCAACCTGCAGTCCCCGATGACCTCAGAAGAATTTAAAAAGTTAGCATGAAAAAAAAATTGATAATCAAAATATAATGTTGCGCAGACCGTAAATCTCACATAATTTTAGGACAACTTTAGTTAACAGAGCTACTCATTGTGCTGTTTTCATTTACATTCCACAGTGCGTCCCCCGAGTTCTACAGAAATGTGGTGAAGATTCAGAAACACGTGACGTTTAATCAGGTTAAGGGCATCTTCGGCTTTACAGACAGTGACTGCATAGGTGAGATAACTGAAAATACATTCAGTCTTTTGCATCATGTGTCACTTCCCATATTGAGTTCCTCCTGTCCTGCTTATGAAGTCTCATTATTGCTCTGCACTTATTTATTGCTAATTAAATTAAATAAATTATCATCCAGGAAAGATCAGCTTCCCAGCTATCCAGGCAGCGCCATCTTTCAGCAACTCTTTCCCTCAGATCTTTGGAAGCAGAAAAGACGTACAGTGCCTCATCCCTTGTGCCATAGACCAGGTAAGGACGACAACAGGAGGTAGTAAAATAAAACCACAACTACAAATAAATAATGTAATATCTGGGTTTTGTAACATCTCATGTGGAGTGCCGCAGGGTTCCATTCTCGGACCTAAGTTATTTATTTTGTATGTGAATGATTTGGTCAATGTGTGGGGACTTTTTTAGGTGTGTTGTATTTGCAGATGATACAACGTTCTTTTGTTCTGGTAAAGATACAGAACAGATGTTGGAGATGGTACAGACAGAATTTGTGAAAATACAAAGTTGGATTCAACTAAATAAATTATCATTAAACTTGGACAAAACAAATCATATGATTTTCAGTAAGAGTAAGAGAACTGTAGATGTTTCATTTAAAATTGATMATGATGAGATCTGTAGAGTCAGTGAAGTGAAGTTTCTAGGTGTCAAACTGACATGGAAAAATCATATAAATGGTTTAAGAACAAAAATAGCCAAATCAGTTGGAGTACTGTACAAAGTAAGAGAGCTGTTCAATGATAAAGCACTATTTATGTTATATAATGCTATAATTGTTCCACATTTAATTTACTGTATTGAAGTATGGGGTAAAGCTGCTTGTAAAACTATCACAAATCTTATTTTATTTTACAGAAAAGAGCTATAAGAATTATCACTAAAAAAATTACAGCATCCATCGAATATATTGTTTTATGAAGTGAAATTATTAAAATTCTATGATTTGGTCAATTATAATATATTGCTGTTAATGTACAGAGCTCATAAAGGTGTGTTACCTTCCAACATTAAAGTAAATTTTGTTAAGAGAGAGCTGTTATTATCTTAAGGGAATCAAAATGTTTGTGAAACCCTGGTTCCGTACGAGCCTGAAGGAGCGATCCACTTTAATCCAGGGAATAAGATTGTGGAACAGTCTGGAAGATAAGGTTAAAAATGCCAGATATTTGTATATATTAAAGAGAATGATAAAATCTNGATTTGGTCAATTATAATATATTGCTGTTAATGTACAGAGCTCGTACAGAGCTCATAAAGGTGTGTTACCTTCCAACATTAAAGTAAATTTTGTTAAGAGAGAGCTGTTATTATCTTAAGGGAATCAAAATTTTTGTGAAACCCTGGTTCCGTACGAGCCTGAAGGAGCGACCCACTTTAATCCAGGGAATAAGATTGTGGAACAGTCTGGAAGATAAGGTTAAAAATGCCAGATATTTGTATATATTAAAGAGAATGATAAAATCTAGTATTCTGGAGAAATATGGAGAAGCATACGTGAATTCATGCAAATTGTTGTTTTGAGTTGGTGTTTTAAATTTAGCTTTGTTTTTAGTTTTTTTGTGTGTTTTCAGTTGTTTTGATTTTTGTTGTAATTTACTTTTATTTTGAACATATWTTGGGTATAAAACGGGCAGATATTATAAGATTTATTATTCTTCAGCTGCCTTTTATTTTATTTTGATTGCGTGTTTTTTGTGTATGTAATTGTTACAAATAAAATGAATTATTTAAAAAAATAACTCTCAGTATTATGCAATATGCGATACTTTTTTTGTCCCAACACCCAACCAGGACCCATACTTCAGGATGACGCGTGACGTCGCGCCAAGGATCGGCTACCCTAAACCAGCCCTGCTGCACTCCACCTTCTTCCCCGCCCTGCAGGGGGCGCAGACAAAGATGAGCGCCAGCGACATGAACTCCTCCATCTTCCTCACCGACACTCCAAAGCAGATCAAAAACAAGGTGCTCCCCTAACAATTTACACAACTCCTGCAATTTTACAAATGTAGATTAATTACTATGCTTACTGTTCTGTATATTTATTTCTCACAGATAAACAAACATGCATTCTCTGGAGGAAAAGACACGGTGGAGGAGCACAGGAAGTACGGCGGCAACCCAGACGTAGACGTCTCGTTCATGTATTTGACTTTCTTCCTTGAGGATGATGAACAGTTGGAGAAAATCAAACAGGTGAGGGAAATTTTACAGAGCAAATCAGATTACAGTGGGGAGATCAAGTATTTGATACACTGTTAATTTTTCAGGTTTTCCCACTTGCAAAGCTTGTAGATGACTGTAATTTTTATCATAGGTACTCTTCAACTGTGAGTGATGGAATCTAAAACAAAAATCCAGAAAAATACAATGTATGA